GTAGCAAAAGCCAGACATTCGTTTAGCCATTGGAAACGTTTGCCAAATGGCCAAGCCACACGGATGCCCGTCCTTCGTCCCTCGCATGCAGGTACCTTGCTTCGGCTCGCGCAAAGCTTGGGATCGTCGCAGTCTGTTTGCATTAAGAGTATCAAACCCCTCGAATGCTGTAAGACGATGAAGATCCCGCCTGGACAAGGCGGAGTGGGCTGAACAATGAGTTTGATGAGACCTCTGACGTCCACCTCTGGGTTTCTATGCTTCAGCTACCGGATGCCACTGCTGTGGCGCGAGCCCGAGCGGTCCGCAGTGGTGGATGCTTTGTTCTAAGCAACCCGCAGGTGCAGCTCAAGATGCTTCAGACGTGTTCGCGCGGACCAGAGGAGTAATTAGGCAGAGGCACACGCCTTCCACAGTGGTAGAAATCCACTGTGGAAGCCGAAAAGAAACAGCATCTCCTTGAGTGAGATCAAGCAGTGTCCTCAAACCAATGCGACCTTTCTTATCAGAAGACTTCGCCTTCGGCCTCAGCGAAGCGACCTTGTTACCCTCCCAGCACCTGTCCGCCCACATGAAGCTACTCAGCATGACGGAGAGGGGCTGAGGACCGGTGCCATGACCGATGTTTCAGATTTTGGTTTGACAACTCGGGGAATACAGCTTTGCTTGGATGGCAAGGCTCCAAACGGCTGGTACCTTTAAAAGTAGCAGTACCTTTAGCAGTCTTTCAGAATTCTCGAGGCGCAGCGCGCGTCTAACCACTGCACCATTCTGGGGTGGTTCTATTCGTAAGATGAGACATGTCCAGCAGGTTCAAGTTGGGCATTCACGGGACCACCCATCGAGTCAATATACAATCCAACATTTGAATACTGGACTACGAACACAGCTCTCATTTGGTGCTTGCTGTCTCCCAGCATTTGAATCAGGGAGTCACAGCCTGAAGAGATATCCGTGACAAGAGCATGCAGAACTTCTCAGAGCTCAGCAGATTTCAGTCAACTTCCTGGCTAAAAAGAGGTTTCGGTGACTTTAAGAGTGCTTGAGAGAAGCGAGTACAACCGAAGAAAGATCCATCGCAGCCTGGCTCTCCCTCCGATGACAAGACCAACAAGACTCTGCGGCGGATCTTTGCAATTGAATCCTAAATCTCTCAGGAGAAATGGCGTGCCGAAACGCATCAGCCTGCAGAATTTAAGAATTCATTTTTACATGCTTGTGTTATATTGCATTGTGTGTATGTGTACTGTATGCATGCGTTACCCACGTGCAGAAACATATGCAGTTATATATATACACACATGCATGCACACTGTTTGCTTGACATGCATGCATGCTGTTTGTTTGCTTGCATGCAGAACTAATGTAGGTATGCATACAGTACACATATGTCATCATATGCTGCATGCTATTCAGAAATCAGGGATATGAGATCTCATGTGAACAAGGTGAAGTTGTCAATCAACCTTGTATTTTTACAGGCACTTGCAGGTGCGAACTGCTTTGTCTCAGCACAACTCAGATAGTCAGATAGTCCCAGATGGAATTTTCTTTAGGCTTTCGACCCGGGAAGATTGCTCGATACTGCAGGGTTTCTTCCTGTTTGCCGGCTTGTTCTATCTCCCCGCATCCTTTTGGCTCGAATGGCTATGTTTAAATTGAGTCATTGATGTTTGAGATGCTGATCCAGTATGCAAGCATATTCAGCCGTGCCAGGCCTATCCTGAGAAACACGCATAGTTGCACCATGTTGCGCTTACGTGTGTCAGCTTCGCAGCGCACAACCATGCGAAAGCGTTGGGGGAACGTGGCTGGTGCTGCCACTCCAAGGCTGGCACCTGACACAGGTCAGGAACATTTCTAGGATGCTCAACAAACGGATGTCAACCAGGATCTTCAATTGTTCCTCCTCGAAGTTCCTGCTTTTTCAAAGGCCAGCTTTCTTTTGTTCTCCTTTGAGCTACGTATCACCCCTTCTCACCCTTCTCACGTTCTGTTCGTGAGGTAGGTTGAAGTCTTCCTTGCTATAATGGCCCTCGCCCTCATTGACTTGATGCGACCTGCTTTAAGGTTTTTATGTCGTCACCTCCCCACTCCCCACACACAAATCCAGGGACTGCGGAAATTCCTTTTTAGAGTCCTAGCTCCAGCCTTTTTTCAACTGGAGCGGGACGGTCATCCCCCTACTTGAAGCCGGTCCTTCACTTCTTTGGCCCTGGCTGCGGGGCCTGGATGGAGCTGACATAGATGGACGCGGGAACACGTTTGTTGACTGTCCCATTGGCGCCCCATTGGCGTCAAAGAGATCGCATGGCAGTCGACTGGGTTCGACTGGCGCCACACAAGCAATTTTTTCGTCGACACCCACCATCAGGTGCCAAGAAAATGTGCAACTGCTGTTCAAAGGTTTTAGTCTTGGTACACAGGGGCACCGTCTCAGCTCCAGCATGGCATTTTGAGCAGGTGATGCTGAAAGCAAATCTTCCACCTTGAGGCTTTCTTTCTTGAACTTCCTTGATCTTCCTTGTTTGCAAATAAAGCCAGCACATTGTTTACAGGAGTGGAGTTCAGGATCGCAACATGCTTGCTTTGGCAACAGGAGAGTCCTCCTCACACGCTCAGCCTGCCGAGCATGCCCAAACACAGGCATCTCTGTCAACACGCTGTTCATGTTGATGGCACTGGACCTGAACATAAAAGCAAGCACTGCAGCATCCAGTGAAAGCCTACATTCTAACTTCAAAAGCCTGCACCACCTTTTGGGTTCGCCCACCGTTGTCACGACGCACCGTCACGGCTTGATCCGTGCACACGGTTCGCCCACCGTCTCCGGCTTGATCAGACCGCGTCAGGAGGGTCACACCGCGCCATGACCCGGTCAACAGCGACAACAGCGAACAGTCCACGGACAACTGGACAGACAGGAAGCAAGGACACACACACATACATCATCGCAACACCAAGAACAGACAAGAAGCAGTGAGACATGCAACGCACGACGTGACAACACCAATTGCAACCGCAGCACCTGCAATGCGGCTCGACCCAGTGGTCCAATCACAAAATCATAACACCAAACATGGCAACACCGAGCACAACATATCAGGACAGTCGGACAAGCGGCCATGCCACATATATGGAGAGCGCAGTGATGCGCAGGATATAGCAGGACAATCAAGAATGACGTGCACAACCATGTTCAACACCAAAATGTCACCACACCCTATCGTGACCTTTTGCTGCTGCATCAGCCAATGCCTGGCCATTCCAATGAGAAACAACACAATTACCGTTACCATCGGCCTGATGGGACGGTGCAGCCAGTGACATGACAGACAGCAGCAAGCTGACAGACACACGGAACTGGCAACTGGCAACACCACGTGTATGTGTATATATAGACCCCCAAACTTTCCTAGAAGTTGGTAGATCCCCACGTAGAACATGTATTGGAAACCGTGCCACCTCATCTATTTGGGTACATAATGCAACCACAACACATCATGCGAGGGATGCTTCGTCGGTCACCGAGTTAGCCAGTCATGTTACCACTGCACCTGGGCGGGTGGAGATAGCGCGAAGTAACGTACAGTATTTCCTCTTGATCTATGAAGGTATGAGGACTTGAAGCTGGAAGAAGACACATGTGAAGGTCGAAGGAACAAACGTAAAAAAGTCGATCGATGTTTGCGCACTCTTTCCTTCAGCAATCGCAAACCTCAGCCCAAAAGCGGTGCCGTATGCCATCGTATGCCATGTTGACCTGTATGTATAGACGTCGTTATTTGTCATGCAGCGCTTATCCAATCGGATGTCCTTTTTCTATCTTTTTCTTGGTTTTGCATGTCCTTTTTCTCGATGGGCGAGTTGCGTGTTGCGAAGCGCCTGAGAGTCCAACGACCTCGTTGTGGAGTTCTAGTCTGACTTGGGTGCATTGGGCTCGCCTTCTGAACGTCTGAACGCTGACGTTCAGCACCAACGCAGTGGTGCTGAAAGGGTGCTTGTTCCAACGCGGAAGAAGTACAAGCTGTTATCGAACGACCAGACATTGAAGTGGTGTTTGGGAGAGCAGCTTGTTGACCTCCTTGTTGTTGACATGTTATGCCGTAACTGGGTGTAGGTGTAGGACCGATGTTTTTTGTTTCCCAATTGGTGTGTCAACCCATACCTTTTCATGTTTTCTCCCTGATGGTGTTCATGCATTTCTGTGTTCCTTTGTGCTTAGCATACTATTGAGACACACAAGCAAGTGCTTATGCCGGTGTCAAGTGCGAGTTGGGTCAGCATGTCAACAGAAAGGGGAGCGGAGGGGTAGTACAGCCGGATATGCTTAGCAACCATCAAGAATCAAGTGGACATTTCGAACCATGGAGCGGAGTTTTGTCTTTTTTGGTTGGTGTACATTGTGTTCATGTGCGTATGCAAACCTTGTTCAAGCTTCTCGGTGTGACTTTGGAAGTTGCGTAAACCATCGTAAACCGCTATACGGAAACGAGACATTTGACGCATAAGCCCCTATAAACTCATTCGTACGTGTTCGTTTGGCCTTTGCTGAGAGCTATGCGTATCTCTCTTGACATTTTTGCGTTTCTTCCCAATGATTTGTGCATTAGAACTTTTGTTTTCCAACGGTTTGTCATTTCCCATCCGTCCTACCAGAGCCCATGTCAGCCAGCTGAAGCTCAAACCCAACATGCCGGGACAAGATCCTTCAGCCAAACATGTTCGGGCTACACTCTGACTAGACTAAACCATCAAGTACGAGTGAACCGTCAAGCAGCGTTAAGTGTCCACCATGAAGATAGACACGATAGAACCACTTATAGCCACTATCGACAATACTCGTAGACATAACAAGAGTCAGAGAGAGAGAGAGAGAGAGAGCGACAATAGCAAGATAACGCAACTCAAACTGATGAAATACACAGGAAACACACGAGAGAGAAATAAGGAATTATGGCATAAACATATTTCTAAAAGAAAAGAACACATTTAAACAACTCCTTCCTTTCCTGTCCCTTTCGTTATCTTTGGATCCATGGGAGCCTCCTTGGATGGCTCGGATCGCATGCTTCGCATGCTTCGCATGTCGCTGGCCTGGCCTTGAACTTCCATGGGCTCCAGCTCTTCCAAGGCGCGAGTGGCAGACTATGCCCCGAAGAAGGACAGACGAAAGGAAGGAACATCAGGGAGGGGAGGACCAGGGAGGGAACACCTTAAGACGAGCACCTTAAGAAGCCAAAAGAGGAGATCTTAAGACACAGTTATTGAAAGAGGTCGATTAAAGAGGTCGATAAAGATGTGATAAAGTGCCTAATGATGTGATAAAGTGCCTAATAGATATTTGATGATGATTCATAATCAGTGGTCAATACTGATGGATGATGGTTCACAAGTATGCTTGATAGAGGTTAATATGTAAACATGTTTTTCAACAAAAATGGCGAATATTGCAAGTGCCCGAATCTTTTTTGGTTATGATTGTTGCACATGTTTATTGTAGGGTTTTTGGCTATGGAGATGCCAGTGCCTGACATGTGGCAATGATGGCAGTGGCACCCTTAGCTCTCTGGCATTCTGATACATTATGATGACTGGAACATTTGTGGTGGAGGTGCCAAGGGGGTGCAGTTAAGTAGAATATCGTAGAGACTAACAGTTGCACGTATTGATCGAATTCAGTAGAGTCAAGTTTTATAAAACGACGCAGCTCACTCTCCCACGACAATGGCTGAGCAGAGTACTTCATGGTTTCCCAACGTTGCTTGCTTCATGGTCAGTGAAACGGCCCCTAGTTGTATTCCTGGATGGGTCACAATCAATGAAGCTATCTCAAATGGTTACCAATTTCACAGCCCCTGAATATTCCCAAGCAGTCAACAGTGGGATGAAACATGATGAACTGATGAACTACTCCGAACTACTCTGAATTGGCCTCATCCTCAATGATCTGGTGGGACATGTCCTTGTTCAGTTCATTCGTCGGTGTCAGCAAAAAGGCAGGTTGGCGCCGGCGCACCAAGAGTTCATCGTTCATCCATGGTAGTTCACTTCAGTTTTCACAGGTTCTCCATTGTGATGCTTTCACCTTCTTTCGTTCCCGGGTGCTGCGAGGACGCGGAAGTGGCCCCTGAAGTCCGAGTGCGTGCGGACCACGAGCTGCGAGTGGAGGAGGAGGAACCCGGCAAGAGAAGAAGAGAAGAGATAGAAACCACAATAGAAGAGAAGAGATATCTATATATATATATTATAATACAATAGATTTTATAACTATAATAGAAGAAAAACATAGGTAGAAAGAGAAACCAAAAATCAAAAAAGGAGAGAAAGAGAACAATGGAAGAACGGATAGAAGAAAGAGATAGAATAGATATGAAGAATAGACAAGAGAAAGAGAGAGAGAGAGAGCACGAAAACGATAAGTAGATATCATTCATATCATGCACCCGTTGCTGAGTTGGGAGCTTGGATGAATTGTATTGAATTGTGACCTCACAAGGGATTTCTTTTGTGTTATTTTGAAGTCCGCGAAAGAATATCCGGTTGCTTATGGGGGTCGATGGCCAAAAAGAATCCATGAACGACCAATGGGGTGCGGCAACCAACCACATCCAATGATAAGCAGACAGGATTGTTTATTTACACCCTGCGGGTTGTTCCGCCGGCCTTTTCAGCCAATGGTCCCAAGATGCGGATTACCTTTTGCGTCAAGAGGAAAGACTGCAACAGAGCAGAAAAAGTAACAGCATCATCCAGAACACAGCTGGAGCAACAGAGGAGCCTACATGAAATGACGTGCATTATGATACAATAAGAGAACAGGGAGATGTAATTGGGGGATGCAAAGTATAGCCTGCCAAGCAAGAAGACACATTATATGACATGTGACACAACGAGCGAAGTAGACCGTGCGAAGCAGCAAACGTACATAGCATTCCGTCAGACATGATGCAAGAGAGTAATGAGGACATGTGTGGCATGGGGATTTCCAAGCAGTCTGAGTTTGCAAAAAACGATAGATACGTGAGTGCAGTTGCAAAACCTGAGAAAAACGCATGCAAAGCAGAAGCGCAATGCATGGACAACGACAAGAGAAGAACGACGATAAGAAGGAAGCGCACACAACCTTTCACTTTAGCTATGATATATGTGAGCTACATACATTCGGGATGTTCTTGGGGGGGGAGGGGGGGGTCAAGTTAGACGAGGCAAAAACTTGCTCCAGAGACACTTTTCTTATTACATTTAGATTCAACATAACTTAAGCTACATACAAGCCACATTGATAAAGCACGCCGGCGCCCAAGGGCCGGCGGATTTGTTTAATCAGTTGTGTTCTGTTCGGGTGACCCTCCACCTGTTTAGTCTATCACAAGCTCCGTTGAGTGAAATCCTGCTAACTCCTGCCAGTCAGGCAATTCTTGTGCAACCGCTGTGACAAGGATCATTTTGAATCGGCTTCAGTAGGCTTAACCTATCAACGACAACAGATATTGGCGCGTCCAGCTGTTGTTGCAACTCATCTTTGATCGGCACCTCAAGGAAAATGGCTGGTTGATGTTCATAGGAACTGTAAGTATATAGATGTAATCAGCATGTTATGCATGATGATGACTGTATGTTTGCCGGATTGTGACCGTCCTGGATCTCATAGTCCTACCACGTCCTACCTTATGATTGTTTGAATCACTTTTCCTGGGATACTGGTTCGATTTCGAGCAACCAGTTGGATGACGGGGATGAGCACGGGCGGTTGATGCATTGTTTCTCACCTGTGGGATTAGAGTTCTTGGAATTCTGATGCCATGATGACTTCTGTGAGGATGATGAGCCCAGCCTGCTGGGCGTGACTAGGTGCGGCGTGGGACGCAGCGCTGTTTTTTTGGTACGTTGCTCAAGCATTCGATATCTCCATTTTTGCCTTCAATTGTGGCATGGGTTCTCAACGACAATTGGTGAGATCGATCTGTAGAAATCTGATCCACCAGAGTCCATCGGAGTTGGGATTGGAGCAGCGAGCCTCGGTCCCTGACAGGAAGAAACCACGAGTCATCGAGAGTGCTCAGCAGCAGCGCCTTTGAGTTCACGTCGTTGATCGCAATTCGAATACGTAATTACAATAGAGATTATATATAATATAGTCATAATATATATGTATAATTCAAAGGCAAACGGAAGGGTAGTGCACAGAAAGGGTTTTGCAAAAACCTATTGTACTAACGTAGTGGAAGGCGCGTGACCTTCGTAGAACCCAAGGCTGTTCGTGGACAGTTCGTGGAATGGTGGGCCAGTAGGAGAACTGACTGCAACGAAATCCCAGAAACCTTCGCAGAACTTCGTGGAAGGTATTTTTGATGCACTAACTTCGTACAAGCGATTTGCTGACCCCCTTTCTCCACACACCCTCCGTTTAGCCTTCAATAATATATATATATATTTCATAGCATTCATTATATCATTGTCATTCATTCAGTTCATTCAGTTCATTCATCACAAAATGCTCCTTAATCGTTTTGTAGCCGATAGTGAATCAAGAATTGGTGGTTGAGGGTGACAATCGGCCTGTTAGTCGAGCTTTTTGTAGTGTCCATCTTGACATGTGCCAAGAGAGAAACAACAGGTAAACAACACAAGAATCAGAAATTCCATGTCCAGATTTCGCTTACAGGTTCATTCTTGATGATTGATTCTTCCCTCCGCACCACACATTATCAATGGTTCATGGCCATACTACGCACACGGAGACTCCTTTGCAAAAATGATGAAGACATACGAAGACAACAATAGATAACATATGAAGAGACATAAAGACATATGAACATGTATTGTAGATATATATATATGCATATATTTACACATGTACATATATTACATATGTGTGTTATATGTGTGTCTGTGTGTCCGAATCCATTGCGACACCGTGGCACCGCCGAGGCCTCAACGCATCGCACAGCGTGGCGCTGGGCCGACTGCGCAACCGCTGCGGCCGCGGCAACAGAGAGAGAGGCGTCAAGTGCAGGAGCGTAGCCAACCAGCTAAGCACAAGATGGACCACCTGCAGAAGATCTAGATGTCATAGGAAGTAACCACCAGATGTTCATAGGAAGAAGCATGAAGAAGACGATGATGGAACGAAGTACCAACATTCAGCAAACGAATGACCCAGTGGTCGTGATCACTGGACAAAGCGAGCATCAAAGCATGTTTGAGCAATCCTAGTGGCCCCATGGGTCAGCAGAAGTCCAGGGATTGGACGGCGATCAGCGAACCTGCCACCAATCTGTTGATTGTAAAGGGCACCATGTGGAAGGGGGATTGATGGGGGGAGCCGCATTCCTCGGTCCTGCAGCTGTCCACGTTGCAGCTGTTCCTGGCTAACCTTAGAAGTCAGCCGAAGCCCTGATGGAGTCATTGCCTCTCGACCTCCCAGGAGTCTCCCACAGTTTCTTCAGTGGTTCAGGTGGCTCCCTCACGGACTGCCCAAGCTTTAGCAGCTTTCGCGATGCCTCCAGACTTTCCAACGGTCGATGTGACTTGGGCTGTGGATCAAGCCGTGACTCTGTCAAGGGGAGGATTGCTTTAGGTTCCAAACTTGTTGTGTTGACATTTCCTAACATTTCCTGGTGTTTCTGTTTGTTTGCCTTTATTTCAACCACGAACCATCGACAAGCAACAATAGTTTTGATTGAACCATTGACCAAGAAGCAACTTGCGCAACTTGAGCAACTTTTCACTGTCGGCAGATGGGGGTTAAGGTGAGCATCAGCAGTCGAAAGATTCTGGCGCACTGGGTGCGCTTGGGGAGACAAGTTCTGAAAGAAGCTTGGAGCGATTGGCACCGGAGCGGAGCAGGGGACTCTTCAGGAAGTTACCTGCTCAACGTGAGGAGTTGGTTGCATGGACTATCTTAGGCACCGAAAACTGGGCGTGCCTAAGCTTCAAGGCTAGTCTTAGTCTCAGAAAACTGGATATGCAGCAAACTGAGTGCGCCTAAAACGCATGGCATACTGAAGGAGTCACAGAAAAAGTGGGGCACTCCCAGTAGCCGGACGAGCAGCCCCATGGCATGTCTCAGGCACAGCACGCCGAACCCGCATGGCTTTTTGGGTTCCATCATAATTCCAGAGTCCCTGCAGCATACTGCATTTCAATACTGTTGGTGCCCCCTTTGGATTTTCATTCGTGACCGGAAGCACGCGTCGAGTTGTTCTTTGCGTATATGAGATTTCTGTTCTTGAGTCCTCAGCATTGCGGTTCCGGGCAAAGGATATCATCAGATATCTACAGATCAGAACAGCGACTGGTTGGTTCTTGCCTGGAATACACTCCCAAAAACTAACATGGACCCTGAGAATGGGACTCGGAAAGACTGTTTTCCTCCACAAAACCAGTTTTCAGGGTCTATGTTAGTTTTCCACGGGGTATGTTTTCATAGGTTTTCATGATGAAGATGTTGGACGCGCAACGAGATCAGACGGGATCATAGCACGCGAGCGACGCCCCAATTCCAGCAGTGGGTTGGTTTCTTGTGGGTCTGAAGCTACCTGGCATATGATAATCTCTGTTATCGGTGTCATCTCCATCATCAGTACCATCATAAGCATCATCATCATCATCATCATCATCATCACCAAGACTGTGATCCGCTGGATCGCCGCTAAAAACTCTGGTGGAACCTCGTTATCTCGTGCAGTCTTTGTTAGCTCGTTTGACGCTGGAGATGACGCTGGAAATTGGGCCAGCAAGATGATTTCCCCATTCCTTGATTTGTGAGTTTCATGTTAGTTGTCCGGTGTATGTTGATTTGCCCAAAAGCGCCAAGGAAAAACTGGGGCAAGTGAAGAAGAAGGAGAAATCCAAGAAGAAAGTCCGTGTGGACAAGCTGGTGGACATGTTTTTGGAGAGCCAGGATACCCACCGGGCAATGGCTGGACGTTGGTGGTATATGACCATATGCTATCAATGGAATGGCCATTGCAATGGTCAATTCTGAAGATCATAACCGTCCCCAGCAATTGCAAATGCCAACTAGGCAAATTGCTTCACATCATAACAGGCTGCACCAAGCCATACATGAATCGCCGAAATGACCGACCGACCATCAGCAAGCTGCTGGTAACTATCGCTACTACTGTGGCAACTGATTGTCATGACAGACTTTGGTCGTGATGTGATTTTAGCGTATTACCGTAAGCGCAAGTAAATATAATGCAAGTATACTTTGTTTTGATTGTTTGTTATCTATGAAATTCTATAAGATGTACTTTCTATACTGACGTTTGCAGTGAAGATGGTCCTTACATATGACATCATATGACCTCAGGTGGTAAGGAGCAGATGCACAGTACTACTTCCTTACTGTCCATTGCGCAGGAAGAGTTGGAGCGGATGTGCTTAGAGGATCCGGAGGAACTGATCCATTGCCAAATCGAACTCCTGACAAGGCTCACCAACACGTGGGGCGCGCGCGCGCAAGCGCGCAACACTGCCAACACAGCCATCAACACAGCGGACATCATAGGACATCAAAGTTTGCATCAGGTAGGGATGCAGGGATGCACAGTTGATGCAAAATCACTTTCTTCCGATACTTGTGCAATCGGAAGCGCATGCTATGCAGATATGCCAGCCAGTTGCAGCCAGGCGTATCATGGACCTGGAGGACGAACTGCTGCGACAGTTCCGTTCTGCAGAGAAAGCGAAGGCAGCTGAAGCCGAAGCTGCCGCCAAACGAGCTGCAGAACGAGCTGCTGAACTCGCCAAACGAGCTGCACAGGCACGGCATGTGCAACGTGCACCCCATCTCTTTGGGGTTGCTGAACACAACTTGATGAGCACACGTGCACCATCGTGCACCCTATCTCTTGATCATTGCGTTCATAAAGCATACAATGCACTTGCAAACGCAGCCTGTTTTTCAATAGCTCAGTATATGAGTAGAAACAAAAAACATATGATGATACTGTATATATATACATGTATTTATGAGTATTGATATACTGTATACATAATACGTTGAAAAAATGAGTGTCCCAAACAGTCAGTGATCCCCTGGCTTTGGGCATCGTCCTTTGGTGTCCAACATCTCATACGTCACAACATGCCATGAGATGCCACATCAGAAACTGAAAGGCGTTGCTTTCCCTTTCCTCAACTCTTTCCTGAATTCTCTTTTCTCATCTTTCTTCCTTTCTCCTCAATTTCCAACTCTTTCCTTTCTCTTTCCTCCTCATTGAGGTGCCAAAGAAGAGCGCAGTGCAACAAGCACGTGAAGCTCGAGCACAAGAAGATCTGCAGATCATGGACTGGGACACGGTTTTTGACAGGGCGGTGCCTGGGCTTTTGTGACCTCGGATCCCAGGCGTTGCTTGAAGATCTTGATGAAAGTGTTGTGAAACTGTTGGAATCTGTTAGATGTATTGAAAGCAACATATATAACATATATATAATGTTGACTCTTGATTAATAAACTCCCCCCCCCGGCCCCCCCCTATCAACAATTGGAGCCTCTAGAATAATATGATACAGAACCAATCAATTGATCAAAATGAAAAGAATCATTTCTTAGCTATTTCTGTCAATACTAAAAATGAAAGGAATCATGTCTTAGCTATCTCTGGCAATACTACAAATGAAAAGAATCATATCTTAGCTATCTCTGGCAATACTAAAAATGAAAAGAATCTGACTTTCAGGAAATAAGGGAATGATTATGTAACACATGTTTTGGAGCCTGAAATCTCTAGACATTATTCTACGGGCCCCCCTACATAATGTCAGAAAGCTGCTTGCTGGACTACCCCTTTGCTTGAATGATTGTTTGAGTTTTTTCAATACTTTTGAATAAGGGGTTTTGTAAAGAACGTGTGCAATGACTTTTGGAAACTTTTGGAAAGCTTAAAGACTAAAGAGCCTAGGTAAGTAAAGCAAATCAAAAGGAAAAGAAAGGGAATGAATACAAGTTTACTTAAAGCAACATAATGTTTAAGCCTGAAATCTCTAGACATTATTCTACGGGCCCCGCCTAAATAATGTCAGAAAGCTGCTTGCTGGACTACCCCCTTTGCTTGAATGATTTTTTGTTCGTTTTTCTCAATACTTTTGAATAAGGGATTTTGTAAAGAAAGTGTCCACTGACGTTTGGAAGCTTTTGGAATGCTTAAAGACTAAAGAGCTTAGGTAAGTAAAGCAAATCAAAAGGAAAAGAAAGGGAATGAATACACGTCGTTTACTTAAAGCAAAATAGTTTTAACGCCAAAAGGGGGAAAAAAACTGTAACGATTGAACATATTCCACTACAACTATCCCTGCCAAAAAATGACATTATTCTGGGGGCCTTTATTAATCTGTGCAGGAAAAAACAATCATTATTCTGGGGTACTTTATTATTCCGTAGTAAACATTATGAATATATATATATATTGAAAGCAACATATGTGTTATGAAAGCAACATAATTGAATATTCAATATATATTATATACATGATGTATTGAAATGTATTGAATATAATTTAGATGTTGGACTGTGAGACTATTTGTGTGGATAGTTGAGTCCATGTTGGAATCCACATTCAGAAAAATCAGATGAAACTCTTCAACAAAAGCATTGTTTTTTTTTTTTTCCGGTTGCAGGGGTCCATTCTTTTCGTGGCAGAGGTCGTGTTCAGGTTTAAGGTCGGCATGTGTGGCCACGAGAAACGGTTAAGAGACCAACGGTTGATTCTAATCTATGGCCTGGGCCTTCGTAACTCGGGGTTAGTTAAAAGCTGTGGGTAGTTGCAGCTGGGTGTAGCATATTGATGTAATAAATGTTCCTTTAAGGTTCATTTCTCCACTAGATTTGAGGTCACATGGCGGTGATCAAGCTTGTGGAGCGGCGCAAAAAAACTATGATGCGCCATTTTTCGGATTGACTGGAACGTCCAGAAATGATGTGCCCCTCTATCCCTTGTAATGACTGTTGCCCTACCAAAAAAATATAAAATGATTGTTGATGGTCGAGGGCATCCAATGATGGACGTGCTATGATTTCTGATCTCAGGTTGCCAAACGGGAGCACTGGAAAAAGAACCGTGGGCAGCAGGAAGACATGGCTCATCAGCAGTGGAGAAAGAATCTTGGCAGACCAAAACGGTCTCAAGAGAACTGGTGCATATCCGTTCTAATATTGGCTGTTTACATGATTTTGCATGACGATAAGCATGTGTGCGTCTTCAGCTTGAGGAAAGCCGTCATGCGACAACCCACTTTGGCGAGTGAAGATGCAAAGGTCAGTGGCCTCAGTCAGTTGCTTCAGTGCTGTCAATCAAAGCTCAAGGTGACAGCTCTATTTGCAGATGATTTCTAGATGATGCAGATGCATAGTTCATTCGCAGAACCGTATCACCAAAGCTGAAGCCGAAAACATCCCAACAATTCAATCGCTCATGTCATGCGTCATGTTTCAGACTGTGGATTCAGGTTTTGACCCACAGCCACAGGTGGAATCTTAGCATATCGGCGGAGAACTATTGGGGACACAACATAGAGAGTTAGCCAACAGTTGTTCCTACAGCTGCAGCTGGTGAATCATTTCCCAGCAGTGAACACCATGAGATGCAACAACCAACATCAACCACCAACCCAATCATCAACGGCTTAGTCATGGACCAACCGCAGAGCCCAAGGCAGGAAAATCCCAAGTGGCAGAGCAGCTGAGCAACTTGGACGTGGCAACAAGATCATAAACATATACGGTGAGAAATATTTGGAACATAGGCCATAAATAAGTTCAAACAACTTTCAATGGTGGGGATATGGATGAATATGGTTGGACAAACCGGCCATGATGACCAACTGTGGTCCGTATGAACCATGATGATGCATCATAAATGAACATAAATGATTATAGCTTGGTGATGGTTCATTGACTGGGACGGTTCAGTGGCTAACATCCCTGGGACGAGGACGACGATGCTGATGATGCAGATAAAGATGATTTGATTATGGAAAAAACGATGACGGCGTGGCTGTTTTTGAGGTGTTCTTCATTCCTTGTCAGTGGTTCTACACCAATGATGTGGGCACGAGGTTCGCTGTTTCCTTCAGTGTCCTTCGGTGTCCTTTTTCTTCGTTGGTTGATCTCAGGAAAAGAAAGGGAAAACTTGCAAGACGTCCTGGCACGATTTGAAGCACAGCAGCGCCGTCAGAAGCGATGCTCGACAGCTTAAGATCTTTTCCCAACAATCAGAAGCAGTTCGTGAAGGGCATGGGTTTAAGATCGTTTATGTTTATATTTGTTTTCCGCCAAGATTCCACATGACTATCGCGCTGCTGTTTGTTGTGGGTATTCTTCTCTGAGCTTGAGAAAGTATCTCAGCATCACCAAGCATCGGGTAGGGCCTTTTCAACCACCATGACCGAGCTTCGCATAAGTTATTTGTTTCGCTTGTACACCAACGGAAACCTCCGAGGAATCATTTGCCGTCCCTTCCCTATCCCAGCCCCTTCCCTCAACCTATCCCCTTTCTCTACTCCTCTCTTCCTCTCCATTCCTCTCTTCCCTTCCTGTCCTCCTCTCTATCCTTTTCCTCCCGTCTTAACTCTCTTCCTTCCTCCAATCTTTCCTCTCCTCTTTCCTATCCCCTTCTTAACTCTCTTCCTCCTATCCTTCCTCCTCTATCCCATAACTATCCCTTATCCTTCTCTTCTTCCTCTCTTCTATTCTGCTTTCCTTAGGTCTATCCTTCTCCTTATCCCTGATACAATCTTATACTTATCCTTCCTCCTTCTCCCCTATCCCTTATCCTTCCCTCATCCTTCCCTTCTCCCCTTATCCTTCCCTTCCTCCTTCTCCTTCATCCTTCTCTCAGGTCTTCTGCAGCAGCCCCAGCTGGACTTGGCCGAAGCGCTGCACGAGGAGCAGCGCCAAGCCATGGCCGAACGAGCCGCGGAGCTGCGCTTGGAGCCTTGGCAATAAGCTGTGCAGTGGCCACTTCTGTTCCAAATTGAGAAACAATATATATATATAGATATAGAGACATATATATATATATATACATGTATATTATATGTATTCTCACGTCTCCGACCCGTAGCTCGACTGAGCGATGGTGGCCCGATTGGGCGGCCATCACGTGCAATAAAGAGCCTACCTACATAGGCTTGGCCACGTCAGCGGCCTTCCGGGCGGGCCGGGATTCAAACCAGCGAGTGATAATGACCCTAGCAACAGCTTCGACATGATCGGGCCAACCAATGCGGATTGCCCACACGTTAAAGAAAAGACCCAAATCAACACGATTCGCATGACCCGTCTGCGAAACGACACCGAAATGCAAAAGTATTTGTACAATGCACTTACGAAGAGTAAGTGACGCCGAAGCGATGGTATGGCGTACCAGACCTCCAGCAACAATAGTATTTGTTTCTTCGTGCTGAGTGACGCCCTGAACAATCCTTGCATGGGGCATAGAACCAAGGTTCAAAGCTTCAAAAGCAGCGAGAAGTTCTTTGCAAGTGACCACACGGGACCTGGTGGCTGAAACATCCAAGGACAACAAAAAGTGCAGCACCTTGGCACTAAAAGCACGAGAACAGCCAAGAGGACATCGTGCTGGCAGTTGAGCACTAGCCAGAGAAAACTGTGCCACGAAATGTCCATCATTCGGTGCTGACTCAGAAAAGGGGTCGGCAGAATCATAAAAAGCAGTCGGCAGCAAATCTGGCTCAAACTGTGCTGCCAAGTTGCAATCACTGACCGTAGTCAACTGTACAAGAAAACTGAGAGGCAGATCTTCCGGGTCAACGTGCTCAGTGGCCCCTCTACGCTGCAAGTCAAAATGGGAGATATCCAACAAAATTCAAGCTGAGAAATCATCAAACCAACCGAACGAACATGATGTGAGCAAAGAGCACGATGGTGGTTCTGAAATGAAATTGTTCGAAGCTGATGGGCAAAAAAGCCACCTCATCAGCTTTGTCATTGCCATGAATCAGCCATTCTTCAACGGAGCCCTCAACAAGGCTAGGACATCCATGGGAGTGCACTTTGTGCAAGGCCAGCTGATCAGGTTCAAGCTGGTGCAGCTCCTCCAAAAGGCTATGCCACAGCAACTGGTGCCTCCAATGGTCAGGAATATAGTTATGGGAAAGCAAAGAAAGAAATGCCATCCAGCACATACTGGCTGTCAGTGTGCAACACCGCAGCTCCATGATAGCAGCTCAACCATCTAACAACCGACAAAGCAGCCAACGCTTCAGCAACATCGATGGTTTGTTGAAGACCAGGAACAACACCATGAGAAAGCAACACGTTATGATCCATAACCACCACCGACCAAGCCGCCAACCGTTTGGTAGCGGAGGTCGGCGCAAAAAACTTCCATCAGAGAAAAGATGATACCGATGGCCACAAGTGGGCTGAAAGCAACTGGTGAGTGGTATCCGGAAGAGCCAAAAGGTGCTTCCAGTGCTCCCAGAGAAACGGATTAGCTCCAATGAGAGCATGTTCAGTAAACGCTCGAGGCATTTGTGGCCGTCTCTGCACCGCTTCGCGATGCTGCTGCCGAACTGAATCATAACGAGGACAATGCAATCACCTATGAGCTAAACCAACAGCAACACCACAAAAAGTACAAACAGCGGAACAAACTGGATCAAACAATGCAATGAGCAGTGTAAAAAGTGCCGTCTTGCAAAGGAGAGACCAGTTCAGCAGTGGCCATTTCAGCTGGTTTGAATCTGCCAGTAACTACCAAACGTGACTTCCACATCAATGGTGTCAAGACCCCCGAAATCCCTTCGGTGACTCCAGCGTGAACAAAGAGATTGTTCCAGCAATACACCTCCAACAGGCGCAAAGATTCCAGTTCCATCTAAAACCACTTGAGGCTCAAATCACGGACATGGAGGACCCAACCTTCATCAAGCACCCAGTCAAGCTGCTCCAAAGCTTGATCCACCGGAGCGCAGCCGTCCTTGAGAAAGGTCATATACCTGTCCCGTCGCAGACCAAGCTTCCCGAATGAAAGGAAAAAAATGCGCACCATACGCCACAAGCTGAGCAAGGTTTGCCAAAGCTGATAGAATTCAGGGTCGTAGCCACATGGCTGCTGCAATGCCCACCGAGTCAACGGATTAACCCCAGCACGGTCCCATCCCAAAGCGTAGAGACACGTTCTCAGAGCCAACTTTTTGAACGAAGCAGAAGCCGTACAAGGAAGTCCAAAAGTTGGCCACGGACTGTAGCCTTTGTTGAAAAACCTCCTTGCGAACAAGCTTGGAGTAAGTCATCTGAGCCCCCAAGTCACGGCCAACGATGGCCAAAGGCGCGCAAAACAGAGCGCTGACTGGCATGAGAAGACCAAGTGTAACATTTGGCCGGATCCAAAGACAGGTCCCAAGCCTCCATGAAGGTTTCCATCACTAGAATGCCCTGCCGCAAAAGAGCAGCCGTTGATGAGACAAGCTGAAGATTATCCGCGAAAGCCAACGGAATGGACTCAGGCGCAAAGCACTTGAGGTAGGCATCGAACACCATATTGAATCCAAGCATGGCCAGACAACTCAGTGGATCGCGTTCAGGAAACCCCGTCACAGAAGAACGTGAAGGGCCCACATTGGAGTGGACACGAGGACGCCATGAAAGAGAATCCAAAGCAAAAAGACCAAGCGTGGACTGTACGCTGAGCCAAGCCAAGATGCCGCAACAGACGAAGAAGCGGTGATCTAGGAAGGCGATTGAAGCACTTGATGATGTCGGCACGGTAGCCGTCCGACGTCCCTTCAAGTAGCCAAAGATGTGAGGCGAAGCACGGGTGGGCAATGACCAAGCTGGGAGGGTCCACCTCAGATCCAATGAGCCAGTACCAACCCTCGATGTCACCTTTTGACAGGTTTCAGGGGTTTGGCCACCCAAGGAACTTGTTTCAAAAAGGCAGCAATGGCCTGGCGAGCGATTGCAAAAGCACAAACAGACAACAAAATGACGACCGGACACAAAGCCTGGTACTCATGGATCTTCAAGCAACTCACGCCAAAAACGCCCAAGAAAACGCGCGAGATGAAGGGCATGCAGGGTGGAACTAAGCTTATGTTTGGCTGCTTCGAAGTTTTCACCAACCCAAATCGCGGCATACTTGGGATGGGACTTGGGACGTGTTATGCTCAGAGTCCCGCAATTCAGTGCACAGTCCATCAGGGCCAGACAAACCAACAAGGCATCCACACCCGACTTGGGCACACGCATGCGTCGGCTTTTGCAGGGGGCGCAGGTTTACCCTTGCAATCAGACCAACGCCGTGCGAAAGCGGCCAGCGCAACAGTGTTGATGTTGTCTTCTTCCACAGCTGGGTGGAATTTGGCACAGTTTGTGGTGCAACCCAGTCCACAGGATTGCAAAGAGGGAGCAAGGGCGGAGATCCAGGTTTTGAGCGGCCCTGCAAAGACCTCCTTCCAAGCACCGGGGCATTGATCTTGATACAGAAAGAGACGCAACAGATCCGTCTCGATGGCAGGAGTCTCAAACTTGCTGCTATGCATAGGAGCAGCTTTGGCGTCTCCAAGTTGAATGCAAGAGCCACGAAACAAACGGATCCTGAGTATCCTGATGAACGCCAGGCCAAGTCAAGTCAAGCGCATGCAGAGCACACTCAGCCGGAGGTTGCGCAACAGCAAGAGTGAGCAAAGCAAGACAGTCCACAGAGATGCGCTTGTTGTCCAAAAAGGATCGCAAAGCCTGCTCCACTGAAACAACCACGATTCCACGTGCCTCAGAGCCAATGGCATCAAAGGACGGCTGAAAGAGCCAATCCATCAGGGTCAGAGAAAGACCCCGGAGCGACCTGAACCTGCGAAGGAGCAAGGGCCACGTCGCGCACCCGCCTCTCTGAGAGAGAAACCTTTTTCGGCTGCTTGCGCAAGCCCATTTTGGCAGCCCGAGCAGCAATGTGCAACTCAAGCTCGTTGTGTTGAACCCATTGAAAAGGCTTGTCCTTGGAACTAATGCTTTCAAGGACCTCCAAGGAAACTTGCTACACCTTGCCTGAAGGAGCAGCTGGGCTGAACTTCTTCAAGGCCAACGCAGCACGGCTGGCAGCCAGTTCAGAGGGAGCTAATCCACCAAAAAGGTTTGAGCCAGCGCGTGCTCATGGGGCCCGTGTCCAACAACGACTCTCACAGAGCAGCTCAAAAATCCAAGATCACTCAGAATGCGCCGATGCCACCGAACTCTCGACATCTCGGTAAAGGAGATCCAAAGTCCAAGAAAGCAACCTTAACATGTGCCAGGGCAATCGCGCCACAATGAGAACCATGAGTTTGTAGAGCAATGCAATTGCGCGAAAGACAACCATATGGTTCATCAAGCCATACGGAAAGGGTCTTGATGCAGAACCCGGCAATCCGAGTGGCAGCACCAGGAATTCCATCAAGGTACCATGCCTCAGCTGCAATCCGATCAAAGGCAAAAGCGGACCAGTGGCCAGCATGGCAAAAGATGCCGAAGACCCCTTTTGAGCTGTGTGCGGAACCAAAGCACATAAAGCCGCACGCGCTTCATCTGGAGGCAAAAGCAGAAGACATGACAAAAGCCCAGAAGGAATCATAAGCCTCCATGTCGACTTGCAGATGCGAAAGTCCAGAATCAAGAGCACGAGCACCAACGACCCGTGCACAAAGGCCTTCCAAAGAAAGTCGCCCCCAGTCCAAGCATGACCCAGAGCTAAGACACGCAAGCCTCTCCGATGGGAGAATCCCAGTGTGTGAGAATGACGCTAAGCAGTGTGCCAGGCTCGCGGTGTTCAAAGTGCAGAGCCTTGCGCTGGATCAGCCAACTGCTTGGGCTCGAAGCACGCAACGTCATAGACTCATAGACGATCGATTCAAGCAGGGCAGCCAGAGGCAGCGATTGTCCCTGACAAGAAACACTCAGTCTGGCACCCCAGCCACCCAAAGCACGCTGAGCCTAAATGAGGTGATGAATGGTAGCGTGGGCCGCCACCTGAATTGCACTGGTGCCTCCGGAGTCAAACCGAAGACGCGTTGCGCGAGGAACGGCGGTGTGATCCGTCGGCCAGAGATGAAAAGCAAGGTTACGAAGCTGCTCTTGAAACCACGTGTGTTGACGCACCAGTTCAGTGATCTCCAAATCAAAGGCCCCATGATGACGATGAATGGCTTGCTTCAAAGCCAAAGCAACCCACTGAGCCTGGGTGGGAGCCGCAGTCTGACCAATCAAGGGCAGAGCAGCTCTCGAGTCCAAGTGCTGGAAGGTGGGTGGCAAAGTGCAAACTCGGATGAGGAAAGCGAAGTCCATCACAAGATCCACATCGCAAGAGGATGGTAGAAATGCCATCGCGGGCCAACCTGACAGGGGACAAACCGGTGCTGCGACAGCCACAATGTCACAAGGACATGGTTTGTCCAGACAGCCACAAGGGCATGGTTTGTCCAAATGCGCCAAGGAGTGAAGCAAGGTAGGACATTTACCTGTGCGCACCAATACCATGTCAGAAAGGACCGCCAAACGCTCATGGACATCCACCTCATCATCAGTCAAGCGAAGGATAGCCTCTAACGAGGCCACATGGGAATCAGAGCACGCAGAGTGTTCAACCCAGGCGCCGAAGGAAGATCAGTCAAAGCGACATCGAAATTCCAACTTTTTTTGAAAGACCACGGACCACCATCGAGACCGACGAACAGGCCAAGCATTGCCCAAATGCAAGACAATGGATGCCCGAGAAAAATCAATCGCGCAAAGAAATCAATCCAAATGCGTGCGAAATCCCACAAAAGACTCAGCATATCGGGTACATTCAAGGATGATGCATTGACCATTGAACAAGGAAATGAGATCTAAACCTGCAACAAAGGTCCAGGCACGGGGATTCAAGAATCCACGTTGGTCACCTCTGCTGGAAACAGGTGGGCATGGGAGCCCCGTGAGGTACCCAATGGCTGCTCCCTGAATTTGCTTGAACAATTCTGCCATGACCTTGGTATCAGTGATGGAACCCAGCACTGGAGCTGCCTTGTGATTAGCAGCAAAGACTTTCAAAGCCCGTTCGGAGATTTCAACTCGGCAACCACTTGGAATCCCGCAATTGTGGCGCCCAAGCTCACGCCGCCCAATCCGCTGCAAAGTCCAGCCATTTGATCCAACCGGTATTCCCCAAAATGCTGAAGAACCATAGACTCATCAGTGTTATGGAGCACAACCATGTCATTGTCAATGCTAGCCACTTGGTATAGCGGAGCAAAGTACGTACTGACCCATGAGGATGCGGACCAGAGCCCAAGTGCACATGAATCGCCCATCCACCAACCAAAGTAAGTCTATGGGATCCTTCGATCACATGAGAGTTGTTCTAACCAAGCGACCATCACTAGGGCACACGGGCTTCCGTCGAACGAGCAACCTTCTGGAAAGCAGAGCCAACATGCTTATATCGCAATGAGGAGCGTGTGTATATATATATATTTACATTTATATAAAGGAAGATATATAGCATATGGATAACCAAAAGGGTTCTATGAAGGTCCATGTCTAAAGCAACATCAGGCCATTGTTCGACTGTCCATTATCGAGATCCTTGTGTTTTTTTTTTCCATTTTTGGGTTCTGGCATTGACTATTCGTGTAGTCTTGGACAATGGCAGCGTTACCCGTTGATAGTTCTGTGCTAACGACCACAACTTGTGGTTCCACCTTTTGACCTACCACTTGATACAGGGGTGCAGTGCATTACTAGCCATGAATTATTTGGTTGGATTTCGCTGCTCAGTTCGTGGGCCACCCTCCACTAGCCTCGTGACTTAGAGTTTATGAAAATCCTTTGAGCGGCCGAATATCACCCACACAGACAATTTGGGTTCTCACCCATCATGAGCCGTTTGTCATGCAGGGTTCATTGCATGTCGCCAAGACTGCAAATTACCAAGAAGAGTCATGCACAATGGCAATCATGAATGAGGTCATGTGCATGCTGTTAGTAGATGAATGAGGTAAATGGATGATGCTTATTATATTATAGATTCCTATCAATGGTTGATACTGGCTACAAACTGAGCTAGAAGTGGCTATCGGCTATTTTGAATCGATAAAACCTACTAGTGGCTACCATGCTTGTGCATGGTCCTCAGATGTTTACGACAGTAGTATAATGGTTGGCTGATGGGCAACCCATAAAAGCCATGAGGAGCGGGAGAAGGTGGCCGAGAGGAAGCGAAAGGAAGAACTCAGGCAGTCTTTGGGGGTAGTGAGTTGCAACGAGGAGTGCTGAAAATCTTTGATGTGTTGATCAATACAAATCTGATGTGTTGATCCGTAGTTGCGGTTCATTCATCCATAGTTTGTAAGATGCGCTAATCCAGCTTATTCCTCACGACAATCTAGCATCTTGATTGAAGCACTAATTGTTGTTTGTTGCAAACAATGTTAGCTTTCTACACCCAAGAGATCATCATTGAATCAGTTTAACATTTTTATTGCTGATTAAATCGTTCAAGTCGAAGTAACCAATCTTAGAGAACTGAAATCTGGGAACAAGTCGCTGCTTTGAGTCCAAACATTGCGCCATCAACATTCGATCAAAGTGTTCACCGATCCCCAAGTGATGAGTTCACCCTGCCAATCACAATCAAGAGCCAACTTCTCCACATAACATTTTTGAACAATTGCATTTTTATATTCAATAAATATTCAACTTCAATTAAGATGACTTACATTTATATATATATTTATTTATGTTTTCACATATTTATTCATATATTATAGTATAGTAGATTATGATTAGAGCTGTTTGGTTAGGCCACGGGCTTTGAGGCGTCAGGCCGCTGAGTTGGAAAGACAGCGCCTGGAAGAAGAGGAACGACGGCGAGAGGAGGAGGCGCTAACCCCGTGAGGCGGTGCAATGTTTTGTTGCGACACCGATGACGTGTGATGATTGCCATTGCAGGTTTTTCAGATGGTTAGATATGTGTTTAAGATCTGTTTAAGGTGCTTAAGTCTTGGTGAGGTCTTGGTTGGGTCTTGGCTAGGTCTTGGTTTTAGGTTGGTTAGATGTCATGTCAGATCGTTAGCCATGGGCACCAACCGAGGAGAATGATGAGTGATCATGATTCGCTTCATTGTGCGTGGTTGATGGTGAACTGTGGTTGGTTTTGGTTTATAAGGGTTGTTGCTCGTTGACCATGGGTCTAACCGACAAATCTGTTGGGGAGATGGGAATCACACGAAGCAAATTGCATTAAACTGCTCTATGTGCGAAAATAATTGTGAATGGCCCTTACTACAGTCAATGAATGTCAACGACGCAAACAACGAATTCACCAGCTACGCGATCATCTTGGGGATACCAAATCATTTGGCGGTTCCTACCTATGCGCACACCCATGTCCTTTGTCGAAATGCCACGTGGCTAGTGGGAACTCGAAAGTGAAGCTTGCAGATTGCAAGAACGGGCACAAGTATCAATATAGGTTTGGGAAACTAGTGCGCCTGCAGATTGCATACAGATACAAAAAGCATATGTATAGATAGATAGATAGATAGATGGTACATTTGCACTTGCACATTGGTTGATTCTGTGAACATGGCGCAGGAGCGAGATCGACAAGCGCTGGAACGCTTGAAGCGAGAGAAGCAGGCGCCAGAGTTGGCGGTTGGAGTGGATGGTGAAGGTGAAAAAGACATTTCAAAGGGGGGAAAAGATGGGAAATGGTTTGAAGAACATGAAGAATGTGAAGAATGAACGTGGTTGATGAGTCATTGCCATGATTTGTTCTGCTTTTGCCTGTTGCTTTGTGACGCTTTTGGCCCTTCTTAAGGAGTCGGAGCGGCGTCGTGCGGAAGAACGACGCCTCGCGGCCGAACGGGAGGAACAACAGAGAAAGGACACAGGGATGGCACTGGGGCGTGGATGGCGGATGGGTTGAGAACTTGAAGATACCCCCCACCTCAAAGAATAATGTAATTATGTCGTAGTCGACCATGAGGCTGATTGGTTTCGCCAGACGAGAGGTGATCAATAGCCCAACACGTAGCAGGAACATAGCCAACCAAGAAGGTTTTTTGAAGCACAGCGGAAAGTAACAAGAGTCACCAGGGTGGTTGACGATTGGTCAGCCAGACCGTTTTTTTTCTGATGAACACTGGTGTGGTAGGTTGATGTAGGTTGCTAGTGACTAGTGGTTAGGTTGACCACAATTGATGGGGGTCCATAAAGATGCTAATCTTAAGACACCCAAGTTATGTTCAAAAAAACTCAACTCGTTAGCCTTGGTTTCACCGTGGGACCACTTGGCTTCTCCTCGTCACGGCAGGAGATGGAGGAAAAGTTTCGTCGAGCGGAGGAAGCTCGCCGTGAGCGAGAGGAGAAGAAGCGGCGCGAAGCGGCGCGGTTGGAAGAAGAGCGAAGGAAAGAGGCAGAGAGAAAGTTGGAAGAAGACCCTCGGTCACTTTCAAGATGTAACTAACTATTCATTATGCTATTGTTTACACATATATTTCATTTTACTACTGCTTATTGGTTATGTACATATTATATATGTATTTGTGTTGGCATTTGGTTCCACAATATTGGTGTACAAAGTGCGTCTTTCTTTTTGATATCATTGTATGTACCTTGTGATTTGCCACAGTGGTATAATATATCATATGTTCTTGGTTTGTGCATTTTTTCCTGGAAGAACACACTAAGTACATAGTGTCTCTCGGCTTCCGTTCATTTGCGGGGTGCATCAGCGTTCATGATTTTCAATGTGCCGTCTCGCGCCACGATGCATTTTCAGCCTGCATGCATGTGTTGGGGGACGGGGGACGATAGACTATGATGACATCATCTGATCTAAGGAAAGAAAGAGAGAAGAGAAGAGGTTGGCAGAAGAAAAACGAAAAGAAGAGGAACGCCTGGCGGAGGAGAAACGTCGGGAACTGGCAAGGTTGGAAGAGGAGCGGCGTCGGGAAGAAGCCAGGTTGGAAGAAGAGTCCGGAGCTAAGTTCAGTGACCCGTGGTTCATGAGTTGTGCTGGTTGCGTATTGCATCTCATGCATCACACTTTTCGTTGTATCATGGTTGGTCGTATGTTGATGTAATTTTGCGTTGCACCTTGGCATTTTGGGAAGTTTCTCTTCTCAGGCGGAGGTTGCAAGAGGAGCGCCGTCGAGAGGAGGAGGAGCGCCGGAGACGGGAGGAGGAGAGGCGCCGGGAAGAGGAGGAGCGTTTGGTCCGGGAGCGGGAAGAAGCAGAACGTCTGGAAATGGAAAGGACGCTGGGAGGCAAGAGGGACAATGCTCTTAATGCTATGGCTATGGGTGCCTCTTTTCAACTTGCAACTATATTCTCATGGTGAAAAGTTTAATGTCTGACTGAATGCTCATGTTCTGTTTGTTCCATGAATTCTTATCTATTTTCGTTTTTTTGCTTGTTGTTAAGTCAATTTTTAAGTTTTCAACTTTGCAACCTCACAGCTGGACCATGGCTGAGGAGAGAGGAAAGCCTCCTTCAAGGTCGACGCCAAAATGCTCGACAGGCTTTGATTGACAGTGCCTTTGACGACCTGGAAGATGCTTGTCACTTGGCGATTCGTGGAGTTGGGGTTTTGTTGGATCTCAGAAACTGTCAGCTGGATTTGTTCAATCTCCAAAAAGCAGAATGGCATCCTGCAATTCAGCATCCTGTTCAAGTGTTACCCTTAAGCAGGAAAAGCATCTAAGAACTTTACAAAGCTTGACCTCTTAGCTTTGCCCTTCACCTTAATTAAGCTAAGCTTTACTTTTTCACTTCCATTTTCCCTCATTCTTAGCTTTACCTCTCTACCTTCACTTAGCTTCACTTCTTCCATCTTCAGGTGATGAGGAGCTTCCGAAAGGCAAAGGTCGAAGTGCCGCAGATTGGGCGTCGAGAGCTCTGATGGCGTTGGATGGCGACAGATCCTTGGACCAAAGGCTTCGCCATGGGTTGAGCTTTGTGTGTGCGTTGCTGCATGAAATGCTTGGGCGCTCTTGGATCTATGGGAGCTTCTAAGGATTCATGATGATGATTGATGACTTGCTGATGACTATGAATGCTGATTAATGCCGATCGACGATGAACAACAATGAACAATAATAGTGATGATCAGTGCTGATTAATGACTAATTCTTATGAATGCCGATTGATGGTGATTGATGCTGATTAGAAATCATGACGAGGATGATGATGATGCTGCTGATGATGATGATGCTGATGATGATGATGAAGGGTGGTTTCAATGATGATTAATGCTGGTTAAAGATTAATGATGAATAATGATGATTCACACTGATGAATGATAATAAATGCTGATTTAAAATTAATGATGAACGATGTGATGATTCAGGCTTGTTAATGATGACAAATGAGAATGATGATTAATGATGGTTAATGTTGATTGTACAATGGTGGTGGTGAATGATTGGGAAGAACGGAAACTGGTTGAGCTGGGCACCTGATGATCAGAAGGTGTTTCGAAGGAGTTAAGGGGCCGAAACCGTGGAACGCGATTCATTCGCTATTCCCACACACTCTGTGATTTGGTGGCTTTGGCCGGTGCCCCTTTGCGGTCATGATTGGATATTTACTTGTTGCAATGCACCCATGCTGACACATTAGATGTAACCCGAGGTGATGAGGACAGTGAGGAAGAGGAAGAGGAAGAAGACAACGTAGAAGCTGACATGCAACTCGTGAAGCTTACTGGAGCCATTGCCAAAAAGATCGATCGCATTCACAACCGATGACTGCGTCTCACCAGGCCAACGAGTCTCACCGTGCGAAAAAGGTTGGCTGATGGAAGCGATGGAAGTGATGCACGCGATGGAAGTTTTTGTCGTTCTCATCCGTTGGTCGATGTCCTCAACAGGGCGCAGCCATACACTGATCAATCCTTGGAGTTGTAAGATAGCATGGGGTTATTTTCAGCCAGGTGAAAAGAGGATGAGTACAGAGGAAAGATGGGTTTGGATGAGGGAAAGAGGATGAGTTTGAGAAGGTGTTTTGTTTTAGCATCATGTTTGCAAAGATTTCCATGATTTTCCCATTGTTTCTCCTTCAACACGATTTTCCCATGTGTGCTGCACATGTTCCTTAAGTTCGTACTGGCATGTGTGCTTCTAGGCACATTTCAGAACCTGCTTTGGCTCCAGCTTGGGCGCAAGGGGTCATGTACTGAGAAGGGTTTTGCATTTTTGCAAAATATTTGTTACTGCTTTCCCTAGAAGTTTGAGGGATCACGAAGCATCATTGCATCGAACACCGCCTAAGCATATCCATGCATTTATCCATGCATTAACTGCGAAGAATGGATGAAGATCCGCTAGGCTGACAGCTTCCACCCTTCGATGCGTGACCATGTGTCTCCAGCTTTTGCGACTATGAATCACTCACGCATTCGCAAAAGGATGAGACCTTTTTCAGTTGTCAGGGCGCAAAACGGCGTCAAATTCAATCAGCTGACACGCCAAATCTGACCATGTTGACGCTTTCTTCTAAACGTGCATTTGCTGTGTAAGTCGGGTCAGACATGTCGGAGTTCCTGGATGCATTGGATGATGCCGGTGTTGACGACAAGGACACGAGGCTGGAGAACACATCGCAGTTGCTTTGGAACTGGCTGGGTCCTTCCGCGTCATTCCAAAGATCTATAGATGCAATTGTCCATGGATGTCTAGACGCTTCACGAAATCATGGTGTTTCTGATCATGTTTGGACGCCTGCTCAACATGTCTGGGAATCGGTTTCTAATTGGTTTCAAGACCCTAGGGATCCAAGTACCTTCTCAGCAGGTGATCGGAGATACTGTTATGATCTGTTATGTAGGCTTGGAGGGCCCAAGTACCTTCTGAGAGGGTACTTGGATCCCTAGGGAGGGTAGGTGGCATAATCCCCAGAAGGTGGTTTTCAAAACCACCAGCTACTTGTTGTTCTTTTTTTTGGTGCTATCTACTCTGAAACCACTGTAATTGGCTTGCCCCACTCCACTTGGAACAGGTGAAGCAAGCCAATGAACCTAAATGGAACCTTTCTTTCCTTTCAGCCGGAGCAACGGTGTACGGCTTGTCCTCTTCCTTGTCTCCTCTTCCTCGGGCCGGGTCGGGTCGTCTTGGGGGTCAACCGAGACGGGATAGCGCCGAGCCATCCGGAAGACGCTCTCGCGCCGCGGCAGCGCAGCGGAGGTCTTGGTGACACAAATGGTGGGCAGTTGTGAGCAGATGAGAGCTGTCAGGTGTATCCTGGTGTGAATTTCCCTCCCAGACCTGGGTGTCTTAAGGATGTCTCAGGATCACCCATTGAATTTCAACGTGGATAAAGGTGTGACATCCATGCTGGACAACTGCCATTCCAATGTGTTTGGCGTGCGTGCTGCTCAGAGCACTGTGCAATGTGCAAGTGCGCCATCGCTTAAAAACATGGCCGCTGCAGGATATGGCTTGTAGTTTGAAGCGTACTGTTATCCAAATGCACCAATGCACAATGCATGTGAGATCCTGAAAACGTTCTGCTGAAGCGGAAGCGACTCTTGTTTCGTTTTCTTCATGACAAACTGATGATTCAACCACTTTGCAGTCCTTGGCGGTTGCAGCATCGTTTTGGCTCATTGGGCCAGACGGAGCAAAGCTGGAAAGAAGCAAAGAGTGGCTCGGCTTTGGAATTTTGGGAATCCAAGCGATGTAAAACTCACTTGGCGTGTTGCAAAAGGCTGTGTGCAAACATAAAATCAGCAAGTGACAGGCATCAATCGTTCGCAGACTGCTCTCAGGACTTCATTCCATTCTGTCCTCCCTACAGCTGAAGACGAAGCCAAATGTTGCTCCCCTGCGTTTTCAGAAAGAAAAAACCTCCGTCGACTCGCCCACTTGGCAGGTATGCCTTTTTGGTGCAATCCTGACCCGTCTTGAGGCGCAGTCGTCAAAGCGTGTTATGAGCAGAAGGACCAGCATGGTGGGGTGTTCAATGAACTTTGTTCTTGGAAGTGTGCACTCATGTGATGAGCTTGGAAGGCCAAAGAAGATTGAACATTTGGATGTAGTCCAGTGAACTCTCTCTCTCTCTCAAAATATATATATATATATAGAGAGTATTATAGATTATATAGTTCGGAGCGCAGCGTGGAGCAGTGTGGAGCGGGCTAGGCCAAGGTGCCGTGCGAACGAAGAAGTTGCCGAGCCAAAGGTGAGAAACCAAAGGCCCGACGTTACGAAAAACGGGTGTTGCTTGTGTTATTCGATCTCTTCCTGGTGTCTCTTAAGGTGATTTGTTATTTTCCGTCTGGGTAAATCCCTTTCTGGTTATTTCTTCCTGTTCCTGAAGCAAATCCAAGTCTTGATAGTGTCAAAAAACATAAAAGAACACATGGCAACACATGGATTCCTGGATGGCCAGGGGAGTGAGGGCCTTTCTTGCTTGATGTTGTTTATATTTGTTTATATTGTTTCATTGTCGTTCTGATTTTGATGCTTGGAAGTTTTTGCTTTCCCTTCGAGTTGTGTTGCTTTTCAATGCTTGGCACTTGGCACTGTTTTATGTTGCTTTGCATTCCTTCTTAGTGCTTTTCATTGGTGCCTTCACGTGGCGGAACCCCCGCGCCGCAGGTGCGTCGCTGGAAGCTTTCTAGCTTGGTTCCTCTCTGATGGATGTCTCCTGCAGCAAGTGCTTGAGCAAATCATCGGGTGCCGTAGTCCCATCGAATGCATGAGGGATGCGACTGACATTGTTCCAGACTTTCCACTTCTTCCAGTCTCATTTCACTTGGACTCCGAATTGGAAAGAGTCAGCTTGCCAAACATTGAGCATTGGACGTCGGCATCACCATGTTCTGTTCAGCTTGTGTACGAGCTAGAACAGCTGGCTTTGTTGCGAGATGTGCAATACATTTGCCGCGCAAATCGCCGGGGTTTGCCTTGTTCGCCTTCAGTAGCTTATTCCACTTACTCTCTCCAGTCACAAATTTTGAAGCAAGTGAAGCAAGTGCAGCGAAGGCCAGGGACACAGGATTGCAAGCTCTTCGTTCTCTGGTCAATTCGGTAGATGAAAGAATGATTCAAAGCGGCCAAGAGGACACGCCATGTTGGCCAAGCCATGCTTGCTTTGGCCGCGCCAGACGAACATGAGCCAATGATGCTGTTTGGTGTGGCAGTGGCTAGAACCAAATCTCAATGCGGTGTTTGCGTCCGAGTTTCCCAAATGGCCATTTCCTCTCAGCTTAGGAGTTTGTTCTCACAAGAGCTCAGACGTATGGCTTGACCAAGGAGTTTGCTTGAAGAGGATCTCTCAGCTCTCACAAAATTCGCTGATGAAGTTGCGGTGGGTGGAGGAAAGGATTGCGCCGTTTGTGCCAAGGCATTCTCCAGACACTGATTGGGACTTCTCCATCTCCTGGCCCAAACAGATCCAATAGCCTGTTTTTCTATGTTTGGTCCAAAGGTTTAGGGCGCGACTGCACCAACGCGGCCAGAGGGTTCTCACTGAAGTTTGTCCGACCAAGACTTGGCCGACTTCACGCTGCCGAGCTTCTGAGAGGCCTTCGGGGTTTGCTACTGTGCAGGATTTGGGAGGCAGCAACTGTTTAGGCTGTCCAAGCTGTCCGCCGAAGAATCCAAGACTTCAGTTAGTAGGCTTGTCTTCAAGCCACATGCACAGAATTGGTGCTGGATGTTGGTGCTAGCCCTGGATGAAGACCCAATCGATTCATCAGACCCATTTGGTGATGAATTTCTGCATCGCAGCATGGAGCTACCGTGTGAGGTCCTTTGTTTTGCGGAGCAGTCCGTTCGGTTGCTGAGCTACAGTCAGCTGATTATGCCTACCTGAGGCGCTGCTTCGAGTCACTGCTGCTTCGAGGTGGTTGAGGAAAGTCACGGGCGCTTGTGCGAGGTGGTCTCTCTACGGGTGCGCTGTCGCTGTCGTGCGCTGTTTGTCGCCAGGACACCTGTGCACTGTCGCAAGGATACGGCCGAAGTTGTGAAACGGGTCGAGGAAAGGGCGACAGGCATTCTGTTTTTTTTGCAGAGGCATTCTGCAGATACTGACTGGGACTTTTCGGGCTCCTTGCCTAAATAGCCTGTTTTCTCAACCTCCAGTCCAAAGATTCCAGGCTCGACTGCAAGAACGCAGCCAGAGGGTTCTCAGCAAAGTTCGTCTCACCAAGACTTTTGACTTCATAAGCTGCCGATTGTGAGGCATTCAGGTTTGACAATGCCAAGGATTGTGAGCATTTGTGAGAAAGCAGCTTGAAGCTTAACTGCGCCAAGCAAGACCGGTTTGAATATTCCATGACTTCAGTTGCAGGTTTCCAAAGGCAAGATACATTATACATTGAATTTGCGCAGATGTTAACATCTTTAGAGCTGGACCCCACCACAGAACATGCATTCGGAAGTGCATCTGGTGATCAATGTCTCGTGCTTCAGAGCAGCGCGCTGCAGGTCCTTTCTTTTGTGTCGAGTTCCTCCATTAATGCGTACTGAGCTGCAGTCAGCTGATCAAAACGCCGACCAAGAAGCTGCGCAGTGTGCAGGAAGAAGGTGGTTATTGGCAGGTGAAGAGTTCTGTGAAAGGTATCCGGTCGCCACCTCGTTTGGGTCGCTTTACAGCAAAGAAGGTTCCTTCTGGTTTTCCAGGAGCAGCCTTTGCCTGTTGTGACTTGTCGGATACGATGCTGATGGGCCATGTGGGAGAGCCAAGCTTCCCTTTGCCATGGCAACGACTGCAGGGACTGCAGGGACTTCGATGCTATGAACCGTGTCTTCTTCGACTGCGATTCAATTCGACTAGGTTCGGTCTGAGACGGTGGCGAGCATCGTAAACAGCGGGAGTCCTTGGAGCTTTGAGGTCACTCTAACTGGATTCACATCGACGCTGCACAAGCCTAGCTTGGGCCCCGCAAGTAGCTAGCATCCATGTAACCGAGCGACCACCGGGCCACCGCCGTGGCGAGGCAAGGGTTGATGACAGTGACTCTGTTCTGACACTGGTTTTCAATATAATGTGTGTTCTTGCGATTTCCTGTTGCCGACGTTGACTGGCACCAAAGCCAAGCCCCAACCGAGACTGAGGCATTTCACTTAAAACTGTGTGTTTGAATCAGCATGGGAAGACCTCGCAGAGCAAAAGCTGCCCAGCTCCACTACGTGCTTAGGTTTCATCCTGAAGTGTGGACACAAACCAGCGAGGGCATGCTTGTGCCAAGCATTTCAGGAAATTCACATGTTCGACTAGACGTCACAGACACCCAGCTTCTTTGCTGAGGGGATTTTGATCCAAACAAAGTAACTTCGCCCAGTTTAGCAAAGCAGCCTTTGAGTGCATGTCCCAGTTGCCACATTTGTGCATTGTGCCGTTGTGGGCAGTTTGAGCAGTTGCCTGTGAGTTTGCTAAGGCATGTCAACGTTTCTGGCACGAAGTCATTCTGTGAAGTCTACTTGAAGCTTGAAAGGCAGGGCAAAGTAAGGTCAGTGATACAGCAAGACAAGACAAAAGAAACAATCAGACAAAGTCTCCACTCAGATCATGCAAAGTCTTGAAGCCCATTTCTCCCAGTCTTCCATGTTCACAGACTTGAGATGTCTCAGCTGCATTTCCTTAGAACAATCTGTTTATCAGAGCCCTGCTAGTCCAGCTGGCTTTTGCAGCGCAAGTCTTTGCCATCGGCAAATGAGCCAAGCTTTCTTTGCGTAGAACAAACTCCCACGGTACGAATTACCAATCTCTTGGAAGTGAAATAGCCGAGAGAATAGTTAGTTAGTTACTGTTACTGCAGATGTTTCAGATGAAGTTTGCTGGCATTGAGCTCCAGTCTTCGAAGCTCTCCCTGAGAGTTTGCTGAACATGCACTGCATGAAAGACATCCGCACAGCCTCCAAACGCGCCATTGGCTTTCCATGCGATCTAAGACAGCCGCTCTAGCTTTGGACCCCGAACGGAATTTTACACATGCAGCGCACGCTCTTGGCCTTTTCTATGTAAAAGGCCTTCATGCGATTTGGATTGGCACAGGTGTTTGAGCAGTGCACTTCCAATTTAGCAACTACCAGTCTAAACAGGACTGCCATCCATGAGGCACAAAACTCCGCTGTACTCAGGCACGAAATCCGTACTGCCTGACCATCAGATTGTCTGTCTCATTTTTTGAGTCAATCTCAAGATGTTGTGGGTCCTCCAAGTCATTCTGAAGCCGTTTGAATCCTCAGCTTCCTTTAAGCCTTCCTCGGCCCGCGCCACTGATTTGACACATCTTGCCTCATTTTCAAGGCTTTCACAGCAAGAGCCAGTCAGCCATGGGCCATATGCGATCCTGACGCATCAGAGAACTGATCGATTTCAAGTTGCTCACAGTCACCTTTCCGTGAGGTTCTCGGGTTGAAGCTGGCAAAAGAATTTGTTGAGGCATTCATCGTTTTTGATGACGCTGCTTTGCTAACGCCAATCCGAAATAACACTTTGTGCTGCAAGTCTTGTCCAACTTTACGTCAGCCCATGGAAAACACCTTGGCATAGATGATACAGTTGGAAGCAGTACTTGCACAAGAGGCTCGCAGAATGTGCCTCCCGCCGTGCGCCAGTGCATTTCGGAACGGAGGCCGTTCCTTCTCTTCGCCGTTCATGTTGAGACACTGATCGAACATCGGAGGAAGTGATCGAACATCAGGCAGACTTGGTTCTTTCTCGTTTCATGTCGCCTGACTCCAGACCCGAGCATGTCGAACACCGCCGGTCCCAGATGGCGAAAGCTGATCCGCTGAAAGGTTCGATGAAAGGTTGGACGACCCGACGTACATGCGACCCAATCACTTCCAAGCAGCATGTTCTGGAGCTTGTTGCGGCGCACCAAGTGCACCTTTGACTGACTCCCTTCCAGATTAGCATGATGCATTGGGCACCTCAAAGCACTGCACTGCACCTGCCCTGGAAGGAGCCGAGCCATGGAACGAGCCTAAGCCTAAGCCTAAGTACGTCTCGAAGCGTCTCGAAGCTTCGGGACTTCCATGGGCGTTCAGAACTGATTCGATGCGGCCGGCTTAGCCCATTGACCTGTTGTTTGATCCCTCCGCGGGCGGCGACAACGCCTGCTGTTGGAGCGCCGAAAGGCCCAATTTAAGAGCTGTAAGACTGGTGCAAAGGTCGACTGGTGCACTACAGTCAACTGAGCAAAGTTGGCCAAAAGCAGTAAGACTCAGCAAGGCCTGAAGGCTAAGCTTGGTAAAGCCTTGAAATTGATTAGAAGGTGTAAAGTGCACCTGGGACCATCGAGATGCCATCCATTTCCTCACCCACACATTCCACCATTTCCACCACACATGCGTCAAAGCCAGACTCTTCAAGGGGCTTGGCTCATGTGTTCAGATCAGTCACAGGTGCAACAGCCTTGCAACAGCCGCAGCTCTCCACTTGATGTGACGGTGAATTCGCTCCACCCCGCGCAGAACGATACGATTTTGGCCGAGCATGTCCCTGCTCCGTGTCCGTCCTGCATCGCAGCGACATGAGTCCACTCCTTAAGCGTCATCTTGATGGAATGAAGAGAAAGATGAAGGATGTAAACCAAGGTGTCAACAAAGCCGGCTTTCACGGGTGTCTGCGTTGCAACAAAGGCGTTCTTTTACAAACTCCGACCGACTTCCAGGGGCTCCGGGGGTTCCAGGATGCGAAATGGCATGGCTCTGGGGAAATCGATGCCACGCCTCGAGGCTTCTGAAGAAGCTCACGACTTGAACTCGGGCCCTACAGGCTCTTGAAAGTCAAAAGAAGCGAGGTCAGCACACCAAGGACAAGGCCTGATTGAAGCATGTAACACTTTCGCAAGCTTTTCTCGAAGCATGTTGGGTTCAAGAGCTGCAAAACTGTTTGCTTAGTGAAATGATCAGACAAGAGCTGCTGGTGGGGTGTTCCATGCAAGGTCTTATTCGAAGCAGATCAGTTTCCAAACCAGTTGGTATTCATCCAAGTACTGTTCAGTGAACGGGCATGGAGGCATAGCAGACACTCGCACGTGTAAGTGCTGAGTGAGATTTGTTCATTTCAAAGCTCCAGGAGATTCGAGCCGGCACCAGTGTTTGCTGCACTGTGTTTGAGTGGTTAGTAGTCCAGCTCCATTTGCAAAGCCGCTGAAGCCCGTTTTTTTGCAAAGCTGCAAGCTATCAGGGCTGTGAGGAGAGCGTTTGACCCGAACAACAAATTTAACTTTTCAGATTTAGGTGTCTTAGGAAGTGTTCCTGAGTGCTTGTTTCTTGCGCCTCTCAGATTGGCGCTTGTACAGACAATACCGTGCAAGTGCCATTGTCAGGGATCGAGCACAGCGAAACAGCTCCTGCGCCAGCAGTACCTCAAGCAATATCTCAAGCATCCTCAGTTGCACCAACCTGTTTACTTGAGTAAAGCTGCAACTGCGACGATGGATAAGTGATGTCCTGTGTAGTTGTGCTGTGTTTATCAAGCTTCAAGCCGAGATTTCAACACACAGAATCAGGCTTTTGCAGATGCTTGTCAGGCTTCTCAGACTTGGCGGACTTGGCGGACTTCAGCTTGCTCAGCAGAGCTGAACCCCTCAGATTTCGTCCGACCAGAGGGGCAGAGTCGTGGCCGACCGCCCGGCGCACGAAGAACCACCGGCCTCGGCCTTCCAACCGCCTTCAGCCCCCGATTCCTCGGTTCGCTGTGAGGGTTCGCCCAGAACGACGCCTAAGAAGTCCTATGTTGAACCACTGTGAAGCGTCCGCCGTGAAACAACATGCCGTCGCTGCGCCCTGTCGCCATGCCGCCGGCGTCGAACGCACGGGTTCCCGGCCCTGTCCAGTCCGAGGTTCCCAAGGACATCGCGCATTGGTTCCAAATGACATCCTGCGGATTTTTTCGAAAGAGACATGGGCAGTTGTGGCATGCGCCAATGTGATGATGCAAAGTCAAGCACTGCATGCGTTTTCTATTATCTCTCACCGTGTTGTCCCAAGCAAAGATCTCACACAGTTTGCGAAAGTACATAAACTTGAAGCTAACCAGTTCGGCTGACGCGTTCGGCAAGTCCTGTGGAGAACTGGAAGAAGCGACCTGAGTGTTTTACTCGATGTTGAGCGGCCCTAGGTGAGATGCTTCAAAGCTGCCTTCTGAGTACATCCACTATGACTATGACACTATGAAAGACCAATTGAATAGATTGACGGCTTCAAATACAGAACTGAGGAGAGCATGTGACAGTACAATGAGTCAAATGCCGAGTTGCTGCGCCATGCTGTGCCCTTTCCATGCCTTCTTGAGAAGGCCTTAAAGAGCTTTGCGTAGCGGTGCTGAACTTGTCACGTTGTAAGGGCTTAACTTTGCTTCGGAGTGGCTTTTATACGCCGTCTGCTGTTCACAAACGTTCACATGCACATCCCTAAGGACCTTTTACGATGCGGACTAGGGCCGATGTTTCCCACAAACTGAAGGCATTTGCACATGCTGTCGGCGCTTTCACGCTCGATAAATGTGGGAAACCTGGAAGCGTTGAGACCTGATTTGGAGAACTGGTCGGAACACTGACGGTGAAATGAGACAAAAGCGGATATAGAGGGTTTGAAGGCGTGAAATCCGAAACTATCCTGAACGATTTGGCATTGACACACGGCAAAGCATTTCAAGCCAGGTGGCACAGTGCAGAGGAACAGTGCTGTCTCGGTTGACCCGTGCGGCTGCCACTTGCCGGATGAAGGAGTTTGGCAGCTGAACTAGTGTGAGAATGCCCTGAAGATCGCATCGCATCGTATTCATTTGAGGTGTCAGCAGTTCTCCTCCAACGTCAGCCATGGACATGGCCACTCCTGCTGTTTGGCCGACGATCGGGCTAGCTGCCCGATCGAATTAAAGCCTCGCAAGAAGATGCAGAATAAAGCCCGATCAAATTTCAAGAGTCTGTGAAACTAGGTCGCACCTCAAGGAAGGGCTGGTGCTCCTCTAGAGATGGCAAGATGAGGCGGCTTTTTCCGCGAAGGCCTCTCAAAGCAGCAATATCAATATCCCTTTGCAAAGCACTTTGCAGTGCATTCTTCAAGAGAGCTGCTTTGCAAGCGACCTAAGTCTAAGCATGAGCTCTTCTGGTTCTTGTTTTTTCGGCGTGTTTTGTCCAAAAAATCACCGCTGAAGCTCAGGCCAAAGCCTTTGTTCCATGGGTTGGACATATCCAAGTGATTCAAAAGAAAAGGGCTTCCAGAGCCTGGAAGCAGCGGCAGCGACTTGGAGGCCTTGCGCAGGCACATCGTGGCACATTGTGGCAGACCTGTCATGGGCTTTGAGAACATGCTACAATCACTAGCCGCCAGCCCTAACAGCCCTAGCGGCTGCGCACTGGCTGCAGACGAGTCTAGGCCTTTCGACCTTTGTGTAGAACAGCTGAGGCAATCCGACATTTCCCACATCGCTCTTTGTGGGCGAATATTGCAGAGGAAACCCACAAAGCCACTTTGTTTCTAGCCGACAGCCATACCAGCTATTCAAGTTTTTCTTGAAACGAAGGCTTAAGCAGCTAAAGCGGAACGGGGAGAGACGGGAAAAGTGGATAGCTCCAAAGACGCACTGGTTTTGAGAAGTGCAAAGATAGCAGAAAGGGTCCTGACTCTTGGCACTGAGCTCGGCCAAATTATAAGATCTTCTCAGGAGGCAGCATGCAACCAAACCAGACTAAGTTGCTAAGATCCCGCACGGCAACTTGGGCGACATCAGTGACATCAGCATCGTCAATTTCAGAGATTGCTCCAAGCGCATGGCAACGAAAGCATCAAGTGCTTCAATGCCCGCCAATCAGAAAATTATTCAAGCTCCCTATAGTTTGAAACATCCAAAACGGCAGATTCGGGCAACAAAAGCAAAGCACTCAAAGGGACTCGAATCCTTTGCAAAGTTGAATCTTCACAAGATGTCCATTCCATCTCCTAGAGTGCTCACTCCTTTCCCTTTGTCTTCGCTACCATACGCATCCCGGTGCCCTAAAGCTCGCGCAAAAGTAGGGATCGTCAAATGACCTCTGAGATAAGAATATCAAATCTTTCAAATGCCAGTTGTGAGACTGCGAAGACCCAACCTTCGGGAGTGCGCTTTGATGATTTTGATGAGAGCTGTGATGTCCATCTCTGGGTTTCTACGCTTCAGCTACCGGATGCTACAAGGAGCGCGAGCGGTCCAAGGAGCCCTTGCTGTGCAAGCAGTCCTTCAATCAACCCACAGCAGGTGCAACTCAAGATGCTTCAGATGTCAGTGTGGACAATCAGACACGAAAGATGCACACGTCTTCAAGTTCTTCAACTGTGTAGTGGCAACATCAAAAACACATCTCCTTGAGTGAAATAAAGCAGTATCGTGACCAATATGTTTTGCCAGAAGACTTGGTGCGACATGTGCGAAGTGACATCGCTGCCCTTCCACTTGCAAACGATTCACACCAGAAACTGCGGATTGTGCTGAAATTTGACCGATCAGTGAGTGTGCGATTTAGCCGATCTGGCAGTGTAGGTGTAGACATGACTGATTTGTCAGACATGGGTCTGACAACTCTTAGCATACGCACAGCCTTGCTTGGATGGCAATGCTCAGACTACCTTCAACATATTAATTTTAGAATCTCGAGGCGCAGCGCGCGTCTAACCACTGGACCGACTGGATTTATGTTGCATCGTTATTGCATTTCATTCTGGGGTGGTTCTTTTCATAAGATGAGACATGTCCAGCAAATTCAGGTTGGGCAATCACAGAACCATCCATCGAGTCAATATACAATCCAACAATTGAATACTGGACTACGAACACAGCTCTCATTTTGTGCTTGCTGTCTCCCAGCATTTGAATCAGGGAGTCAGAGCCTTAAGAGGAAGGTCCGTGAAAAGAGCATTCAGAGCATGCAGAACTTCTCAGAGCTCAGCAGACTTCAGTCACCTTCCTGGCTAAAAGACCATTGCAGTGACCTTCAGAGTGCTTGAGAGAAGCGGGAGCAAGCGAAAGAAAGATCCGATTCGAAGGCTGAGCAGCCTGGCTCGCCCACCCATGACAAGACCAATAAGACTTTGGAAGGATCTTTTGCAATTGAATTTCAACTCTCATGGAGAAATGGCGTGCCAAAACAAATAAGCTTGACTTTGATCATCGATATAATATATATTTTATATTTTATTTATATAATATATATATATTAATATTGAATTCATTTATGTATTTGCAGTTTACACGGTATGTGTTCATGTGTTTAGAATGTTTAGAGATAGATGATAGATGTATGATAGGTTGCATTTGTTTTTACATGCATATGACATATGACTTATATAATGATATTTCGATAGCACATGTATGCCATATGCGCACACTTGAGATGAGTGCTCGGCTGAGCTGAGCTTCAGAGATGCGCGGTGAGCATGAGCCCTTTAGTTTTACTGCAAATTTGGCCTTGACTAAAAAGAAGTGCTGAGTCGGTCGAACAGAATGTTTCAACAGATCTTTTTAAACAATTGATAATTTTAAACAATTGAATGCAGGTACACATTCAGGCGTCCCTGAATGCTTCCACCAGTCTTCTATAGCTTCGTTGGGCAACGTAAGAATGGCCGTTGCCCCCCTGCGTGAGACTGTACAGAAAAAGTAGGTAGAGTAGGTAAAGGTAGTGCCCCTTGAAACGCGGTGTGACACACACACAGAAAGCCGAATCGGCGCATCTAAGTTAGAGGATTGTTGCGTCTGTCTCAAACAAGGGCAATGCTGTGCTGTTCTACGATGGGGCCGCTACGCTGCAGCACAATGTACTGGTGAGTGATCTTTTGTCACGTAGAGCTCAACTAGTGCCTGTGCGGAAGAGGAAGCAATTGGTGTGGGGTATGTGTATTGTTGGAGGGTGTGATGTCTTGATTGGGTGTGGTGTAAATAGTGTTGAGGAAGGGTTGGAGTGGATAAGGATTGAGTGAAGTGGTCATTGAGTAAAAGCATCTGTTGTCCACGCGTGACGGTTGGGTTGTTGGAGGAAGGTGTGGTAGGTGTCTTGCCATGCGTGTGCTGTAAGCGTGATGGTGACGTTGCAGAGAGCTGGGGAAATTGGCTGCCGATGCGTGCTCCTTGTATCTGTTGGTAGTAGGTGTGGCATACTTGAAAATGCAGGATTGAAGTGCTTGTTGTACAATCAAATGAATGTGGGAAGTGTCAAGGGTGCGTGTAAGGGGTGCTCTGCTGTGCGTGGTGAATGAAGTGTTTGCCGATGTGAGAGGGTTGAATGGGGTGCCAGTGGTTGTGGTTGTGGTGGTGGCTGTGGTTGTAGTGGTGGTGGTGTTGGTGTGGTGAAGTGTGCAGTGGTAGCAGTATCTAAAGTGCTGGCTGGCGAAGAGGCAATGGTGATGTGTTGTGGGATGTAGCGGTGTGAGGAATGCCGGTGTGAGAGAGATCCATTGAGGTTGTGCTGATGGGGTTGCTGCAAGGGGAATGGGTTGATGTTTGTGGTGGGTAGTAGTGTGGTGAAACCTGAGTTGTGGTAAATGCAACGGGCACCGAATATTGAGCCTGCGCCAAATCAAATGCACAAATCAATGTATCAACGTGTCAATGTATCAATGCAGTGAAACATGGGCTATACAGTGTTTTTTTCTTTTTGGGAGGGAAAAACTCAATAACGGCGCCCCGTAGGGTTCACACAGCTTACCACAGCTTTACTGCAAATTAGGCCTTGACTAAAAAGAAGTGCTGAGTCGGTCGAACAGAATGTTTCAACAGATCTTTTTAAACAATTGATAATTTTAAACAATTGAATGCAGGTACACATTCAGGCGTCCCTGAATGCTTCCACCAGTCTTCTATAGCTTCGTTGGGCAACGTAAGAAGACTGGCCGTTGCCCCCTGCGTGAGACTGTGCAGAAAAAGTGGGTAGAGTAGGTAAAGGTAGTGCCCCTGGAAACGGGGTGTGGCACACACACACACACAAGCCGAAACCCATCACATATGTACACGATTATACATGTAAACCATTCGTCATGCAGGGCAAG